TCAAATTCGAGCCCAACACTTAGGATAGGCTGAGGTGTTTCTGAAGTAATTCAGAATCCTAAAACACCTCCTACCCTTCTTCCTTTGATTCCGGAAATAAGTCTTCAATTTTGAACCAATCCCAATTGAAAATTCCAACCCTTAACCTCCTTTGATATCGATCTTTGAATATCTAAATAAATTTTATACCGCTATTTTAATCGAGAGTTTTCGTAGGAAACTCAGGTTTCCCTACGATGTAATTAACTACGAGGGCTTGCGCTCGTAGGAGATTTAGAAACCCAGACCAGATTTTCAAAATTAATTTTTCAAAACCTCTAAATAATTATCTTTGGGAATTCAAACAAAAATGACGATCGTTATCGTCAAATTCAAATAATCGGTAATATGTAATATCATCTTTCTTCGGGAAGATATATTATTTTATTATGATTATTTTGATTATGAAATTAACGATCTCTTATCCGAATTATTATAGTTAAACAATTGATTGAACATCATTTTGATCTTTCGAGATCATATGTTGTTTCCTCCTTGAGTTTGACTACGATAATTCGGATAAATTTAAAATTCTAAAATTTGAACCCATTAGGGAACAATATGTTCGCCTCTCGAGGCGATATACTGTTCATAATGACGTGTTCAATTTCAAAAATTTTAAAAAATTAGATATTCCCAAAGATAATTAAATATTTTTCAAAATTATATATATATATATATATATATATATATATATATCAATCAAAACAAATATTCTGCTGCAAGTGTTGCACTGGGTTAATTTCCTCCAACCACTGCTAAGCAATGGGTGTATTAGATGGGTTTCCCAACACATCATAGATGCTAAGCCAAGATTTTGAGTCTTGAGGGATTATATCTTTGCAAGGGGACGTTCGGTAGTATGGTGTTGGTGCGTAGGACGGACGTAAGCACGAGGATCGATACATACAATTTTTTTGCATCATTTTTCTTTATTATTATTTTCAATAAATAAAATTAATAACATTTATTATTAATTATAAAATATAATGATTAATATATCATAATTAATAAATTAATTATAATCAATTGAAGTTAATTATGATTAACAATAGTTAATCATAATTGATACTAATTAATTTAAATTAATTATGATTAATTATAATTAATAATAAGATCATAAATTAAAATGTTATTTAAATTATGATTAATTCTAATTAATAATGACAAAACAAAATAAATGATAATTAATTATGATTAATCATACTAGATGATAACCTTAAGTATAAATAAACTATTAATTATTATATTAATAGTAATTAATACATAATTTAACTTTTATTAATTATAATAATTAGTAAATTAAATCATTATATTAGTGATATGAGTAAAGATTAATTATAATTAATAATAATTGTCATAAATAATGATAATTAGTTATAGTTTAATTATAATTAATATAATTAACAATAATTAATCATACTTAGTAATAATTAATTATGAGAATTTATAATTAATTATAATTAGCTGTAATTAATGATTTTTTACTTTAATTATAACTAATTATAATTAATAATAATTAATCATTATTAATGATCGCTTAATTTAATTAATTATAATTAACAATGTTTATTTCGTCTTTTCTGGATCGGATCTAGATTACGTGGGTTGTTTTTTGACGATACGAACTTCCGGGCGACGAACCGACCATTGGGTTGGTCTCAACCCGATTTCAAAATGGGTCGGGTTCGGATTCCCGGATTCAACCCGTTTGAAAAACGGGTCTGGTTCGGGTTGTCGGGTCAACCCGAAAACCCGTCGGCGAGCTCGGTGCCCCGCCGTCCCGCCGCCGCCAGATGCCAAACCATGTCGGATCGGGTCATCTCGCCAACCCGACGGGTCGAGTCCGGGTCCAAGTTTAATACTCGTTTACATACTCGGATCGGGTTATAGTCGACTCATTTGAACCCGGGTCAGTTCCGAGTTCGATCCGAATCCGACCCGTGATCCGAAATTGACACCCCTATCTACTGTCTTCGTCAATCTGAGGTCAGCCTAGGGAGGAAGTCGTATAGGGGTGGCACAGTAGGATTCTTCGGCTGCTAGTGGGGATTAAATCTTGGTGTTGGGTGTAGTGCAGGCGTAGGTGGTCGTGAAACGGAGGCTGCTCGATGGACTTTTTATTGCTTTCTAAAACAGAATTTTAGTAAAAAAATAAAAAAATTTGTATTAAAACTCCGTTTTAAAAAGCAATAAAAAAGCAGTCCCACCCAAAGGAAGCCTTTCAAATGGAAGAATAGTGAAGCTTGCGGCACAGGAGGCCGGGTGTGGTTCGTATGTAGTTGGCTCGACGGGAGCTGCTCGGCAAAGTCTTCCTGCACAAAATAGAGAGGGACGAGGGGAGATTGACAGGGAAGACAAGAAACCAGCCGGGACCAGGGATATGTGTGCGGCTTTCGGGAGTGAGGAAATACTGGCTACATGGGAAATCAAATGGCTGCAGCGGCTGATCGTGGTTGATTCGGTCGAGTATATGAGACGATCAGGGGAGGCGGAAGTTTGAGGTCGTAAGGTGAATTTGTGGAGTTTGATCGGTGCACATTGAGGGATCAAAGGGATTTACAAAACATGGGAGTCCGACGGGAGCTTTCGTAAGCAGGAAGAAGAAGATTCGGTTGAGGGAATTCGGGGGCAAGCAGTACTCGAGCGTGGAAGAATTAAAAACCAAAATCCTCAAATGTATCGTTTAGTTCCCTTTTATCACAAGGCATAACTTCGATCGAGATGAGTTGCCGGCGAGATTTACGTAGGATTCGTGCGAAGGAGTAATTATTAGGTACGTTCACTGGATGTATAAGAAGGTTCGGTTTTAGGCAAAAAAGGCATGTACCGAGTTTTTTCAAAAAACTAGGTATTTTTTTAAAAAATTCGGTACAGGCACTTTTTTGCCTAAAACCGAACCTTCCTCTACGTCCAGTGAACGTACCAAATAAAAATTCCGTGCGAAGGGGACTAGTCGAGCACGGCATCGACGTGGGAAGATCGTGAAAGGCACGTCGCCAGATGGCCGTCGGACAACCAAGGTAAGGTGTCTAATCGAATTTATTATTATTATTATTATTATTATAATAGTAGAAGTCAAAATAGAAAATTTTACCCTTATTTTTTTTTCTTTTTTTTTTTCAATTCCTCAAATTTGTGCATTATCGCCTCATAAATAATGTGGCTTTTCTCGTGCGATTATCTTTGAGCAAAATTTTAGTTAACATAAGATGACTTAAATGTTCTGAACGCAACGACAAAGTCTGTTTTATGATTGAACATCATTTGGACAACGTCGCGCTTCGTCTTTGGGTGTCGGATGCTGATTTTGACCGGTCTCATCCGATCTGACTGCGATCTAGTCGCACTTAGGTAAATTCGATGCTTTGATCACAACGGCGCAATTCGTTTAACGATCGGAGATCGTTTGACCTTTCAATAATCTCTGGTTTCACTCTTTTTACGCGTATTTTAATATAGGGATCAACACTACAATCCTCTGACATGATTTCCTGCTCAAGTTTTAGCATCTAGAGACTCAAGTATGAAATTTCTTGGGGCAAATTGGTGAAGTAGATAAGAGAGTAGGATGTTGATAATGCTGGTTCGTGGAAGAAAACAAAACAGCTAACGTGCCCATTCTCTAGGGGTGTCAATATTGGACCCGACTCGAAAATCCAATCCGAAATTTTTGGGTTTGGGTTGACTAGAACCCGAAACGGGTCGGGTTTGAGTCCGAAAAATTGACCCGTTTGCAAAATCAGGTCGGGTTCGAGTTGACCCGGCAACCCGGGAATGACCTGGAAATCGGCCTTGTCAGAATCTGCCCGCTTGCCCAGCGTCCCCGCTTGCCCCACAACCCCGCATACCCGGGCTGCCCGCCTGCCCCATAGGCCACAACACATGTCGCTCGCATCGCGTCGCTTGTGTCGCATGACTACACACGTCGGTCTGTCGCTTCAAGCCATCAAGTCGCCCGCTTCTTTGCCAGCACCGCCGTCGCTATTGCACAGCCCGCGCTGTCCGTCACATGCGGGAACTAAAAAAAAAAAAATCAAACCCGAAGCAGGTCAGATCAGGTTGACCCAAACCCGAAGCGGGTTGAGTCGGGTTGACCTGAACCTGAAGCGGGTCAGGTTCAAGTTCGAAAAATCGATTCGTTTGCAAAAACGGATCGGGTCGACCCAAACTCGAATAGTGCAAGATCAATTCCGAATTCGACTCAAACCCAACCCGTTACCCGAATTGACACCCCTATCATTCTCTTTGAACTTTAGCACCAATATTTCAGCTTTCCCCGCTTGCTTTCACAGCAATTATATTTACATATCTTTCATCGACTCTAGTTATATTCAAAGGATAGCTAACAAAAAGAAAAACTAAAATTATCATTGCATGTAATACTTAGGGTTAATATCAACCTTGCAATTTATTATTCATCTGCAAGATTTACCCAAAAAATATGACGCAGCCGACAGTTAAGTAGCGTAAATAAGCCCACTTTTGAGTGAAGCAACATCAAGGGAACTGATTTGCACGCATTCTCCTCACACAACTTCAATTTTGCATATATTACACGAAGGGGAAAAAAATTTACATTTGCTAATAAATTTTGATCAAATCTTGTAATAATTAAATTTACTTTAAACCTAAAATTTTATATAAAAAAAATATTTTATCTTCAAATATATTTAATTATTTTTAAACTTATTTTAATAAAAAAAATCATTTTATCTCCCAATATTAAATACTCATCCATGAGGTCATACGCATACTCATACCCATACCAAATATATGAGTGTGTTATGAATGTGTATCCAATGCAGAGTTCTGAAACATAGCGTGCATACTCCTTAACACTGCAATGATGACGATAGGAAATTGGTGTGTGCAGTGGGGATTTTAAATTTTAATGGCCGTCAGCTTTTTCCACCAAATTAACTAAAAAAAAAAAGGTACGACGACCAAATAGCAAGAGGTTTTTCACTAAGGGATAAACTCATAAAATTGCAACATTGGAATATTACCTGATGTATATAATCCAAGAGCTGCAAAGAGCATCAAGCACAGAAAATTTTAGAACAAACTTTACAGAAGCTTAAAAAAAAAAACATCCTATTTCCACCCGAACACCCGACCCACACCCACCCAACTGCAGCAGCCGCTGTTACGTTACAGACGTCCACAATGAACATCTACAAATGTGAATTCCTCTGACTTGGGCGAAGAATTCTATCAAAATAATTCCTCATCTCCGGTATAATGCGAGCGATCAGTTCAGAGTGCCTACGCCAATCAGAACACCGGCAAGAAAATGTCAGCAAGACCAACACCTCTAGCGCCGATTTGGTCGTTTGCAGATAGAAAATATGTTCTTAAGAAAATAATATTTTTTGTCGATAATGAAATCATTACAGTTAAACCAAAAAATAATTCAAATTCCAACGAACTAAAGCTTCTCTTGAGAGAATTTTTTATCATTATTTTTTTTGTTACAAAAAATTTTCAAACGGTAAGAAAACTATTTTGAATGAAATCTAAATCATAAACCTTAACAAAGATCATCATTCATGTTTCTATTAACATGCAACTACATGAGCCCTTTTCAGGATTTAACGATGCTCATTGGCAATTGGCCCGCCTAAAAAAAAAAAACTTACCATGGCTTAGTGCGTGTCTTATCGAAGTGTTCCAGAATGAAAAGGATGCAAGTTTGCTTCAATGACAAGGCATTATAGGCCTCTGACAGCTCATACATCGAATAGATGTTGTCAAGGTTCACAACCTGAGATAAGTGATAAGCCTGACGCTTTTAGAGACCGGCCAGCATATATATAATTTGAAGTTCAGGCAAGTATTAAAAAAAAATGCAAGTGCCAACCTGCGCAATGGCATACTCGCACAAACGTTTCAGACCTTCGAGAAGATACTGATCAGCTGCTCGAAGAAGATCTTGTGCAACATCGGTTGATATTTCCACAGACCCTGTGTAAATAAATCTACGGACAGGGAAAATTTCAAAGGTTAGAGGTACCTAAGCACACAGATATAGCAAGAAAAGAAGATGCAGTTACATACCTCATCATCAACTCAAATACATCCCATTTAATATTTGGAATCTCGATGTCTCTCGTGTCCTTCTCCTAGTAGTTCAGGGAGCATCGGTTTTAAGATCAGAACATATGAAAGGATTGAATTTTAGGCAAAGCATGACATGAAAAACAACTATTCATTTAAAACTCAGTAGTCAACAACATACTAACAACAGTACTGTTACTGATGGATGGATTATAGTATTTGAAAATAATAATTTATTCTTTTCAAAGAAGGCACAATAACTGAAAACAGACTGAAATCAACCTAACCCAGACAAAAGAAGCGGAAACAGAATCAACAGAAACTTACTAATGAAGATGTCAAAAGGTGTTAAAACTTGACAAAGAGCGGTGTTGAAAAATTTGCAATTTACAGAAACTGAAAGGGTGTTTTAGCGTGATTAATAACAAGATAAAATATGAATAAATGCATAACAAGCTGTTGCATAAAAAAATTACCATTATAACCAAGTTTATGCGTTTAAACTGTTTGTTGATACATGCAATACTGGAGTATCCTTCAAATTTGCATATGTTCGAGTTAATTATAAAAATAAATAATATTTATTTTGGCTCGAGTTAGCATGAGTTAGCTCCTATGATAACAACCCACTGATCAAAATCAAATCAAACCAACCAAAGCCACTTGTGTCATAGACATGCCTCTTCAAGTTAAACAAAACCTCGTGAACAACCAATGTTAGTGTCAAGCTTCTTAGCTTCAGGGGGTCACATCCAGTAATCTCAGAACCACAAAAGGCCGTGTTGTGTACCTCTAACTGGTCATTAAAATTAAAATGACCAGCCCTTCGTCAGTGAATGAGTTGAAGTCAACCACGAAAGCACATCTTTGACACAATCTGCTCTGATCTGCTCATGACACCATAGAGAACGTATCCCATAATTACTAATCAATTTTCGTAATGTTTAAACTAGGTCCATTGGCATACCCAAGATATCTCCATTAGGTGTACTCCCATCCCCCAATAATTTCCCATTAATTAAATTCATATACAACTACCAAATGTATTAAATGATTAATGTCATGATTATTCAATAAATTTTATGCTAGTTGTCGACAAACTAACGCAACCCTCCACTTTTCTCATCAAGGACCTGGGGTTTGACAACGACAGTGTTTGAAAAATATTAAAAATGACCTATCTATATTAGATTTAGATGAGAATTTGATACTCGAGGACACAATGAAGAAAAATGATTCATATAGCTGACCCCACATAGTGGAATAAAGGCTTGTTGTTGTTGCTATAATGCACCGACATTTCTCAAAGAGACGTGCAGTGTCCAACACGTATCCAACATGACATGCGTCCGACACGCCTCCGACAAGTCGAACATGCAGAAAATGTGTCTGATTAAACAAAATATTAAATGCAAATTGTATACGTGTCTGACACACGTATCTTATATATTTTATAAATTTTTATTAATATAATTTATTGTATTTAAAATTTTTATTTATTTAAATATAAAAACTAAATTTCTTATTTTTATCCACAATACAAAATCAATCGCCCGCACTTAATAACACATTCATCAAATATTTTTATTTTCATTTCTCTTTGGCGGGTCACGACTTTGATTCCACTACAATGCTCAATGTCATCTCAACATTAACGTCTGACGTCATTACAACATCGAAATTTCAAAATCATCTCAACATTAAAGTCTGACACTATCTTGACATTTCGGCACTAGCAATTTCTACACCAACAACTTGATAACTCAATTTTGTCCGACGTTGTCTTAACATCGATAGCTAATGCTCTCTCAATATTGATGACAAACACCCTCTTGAGATCGACGCCCGATACTTATTGCCTAACATTGATGCCCGACTCTCGACAACTCGACAACATTGTTGTATCCTCTCTCGATGTCTGATGCATGACATCGACGTCCAACTCTCGACAACCTAATATTAATCATTTTAAGAACAAATTCTAGTTAAATGACATTATTTCTAAATTAATTTAAATATTTAACATATTCAATTTTTTATACACTATTTTTAAAATATAAAAATTATAATATCATGTTCAACCTATGTTTGTGTCCTCTATTTTCAATAATTGACGTGTCCCGTGTCCATGTCGTGTTGAGTTCATGACATGCATGTGCATGTGCATCATAGCGTTCTATGATGCACCAACAAGGACACGTCGACACGGACACGACACGACACGGACACGGGACACGGTATTTTTTAAAGATATAGGACACGGGTGCGGCGTGGACACAGCATAATAATTTTTTAATATAATATATAGAACTTAAGATGACATTATATTAAAAATGACAAGAAATAATAAATCAATTTCATGATAACTTGTTTAGCTTATAACATAAAGATGTTTAGTACAAAATGTCTAGTACAACCACAAAAATATAAGCAAAAAAACATTTAGTACAACATGAAGGTCCAACTACTCAATAGAAGGAATGATAGAATTAGATTCAAAGGTTGATCTTTGACCTTCAATATCATCATCATTGAATATCATTGCTTCCAACTCTGGTTCATATAGAGAAAAATTTACAACCTCCAATAATCCCATATCATCAAGGCACTCAAACTCATCTCCAGCAACATCCCACATCTTATTATTACATGTCATATAAAATTGGGTTTTCCTTGATAGAAGACGAAGATTTCTATTCCTCCTAAATCATAATGGATATTCTCTATTTGAACTACTATCCTTCAACATTGAAATTATAATTGATATGAAGTAAAATCAAAATATCTCAATAATAAGATAACATGAATACAACAATATACCGGTCTGTTGGGGGTCCAAGGGGGCGCTACCCCCTGGCGGGGTTCGACTTTCCAGGGTAAGAGTAATTTTGAAGTTCTGCTTGTTTTTAAAGTTTGTAAGTTATTTGTATGGAAATATACCAAGCGGTACCGAGCATGTACCTAGCAGTACCGAGCATGTACTAAGCGGTACCGAGCTTGTACCTAGCGGTACCAAGCATGTATTGAGCGGTATCGAGCATGTACATTAGCTTTTTTTTGGTAAGTTTCAAAAAACAACAAATAATATTTCAGGCAACGAGAGTCAGGCATCGATGTCATTTATCGGTCACCGAGAGATGAGATGAAAATACCTTCACTGCCAAAAAGAAATTAAAATGAGAATATTCGATGATTGGGTATTAAGTGCAGACGTTGATTTGGTGTTGTGGATAGGAAATAAGAAATTTAATTTAAATCCCGCAAAATATAAGAAATTATATTTAAAAAAATTCATAAAATATTTAAGATACGTGTGTCGGACACGCGTGTCCAATTTGCATTTAATATTTTTTAATCGGACACGTTTTTGTCGGACACGACACGTGTCGGAGAAGTGTCGGACGAGTGTCGTGTCGGACACGGTGTCGGACACTGCACGCCTCTTTGAGGAGAAGTGTCGGTGCATCATAGATAGCGTTGTTGTTGTTGTTGTATAACTACCAAATGTAATCATAAAACAAGAGCCTAAACAATCTTTTTAATCGAGCGTGCTCTCTCATGGATAAAAGAGGTAATTAAATATTGGGCCTTAAACTCATAGAAAATCTTCACCCTAAAACATTATCTGATATCGGAGGAGATCTAGGTCAAAAAAAATTCTAATCAATCTGAAAGAAAATTACTCCTAAGCTTCTCATCACATCAAGAAATCCCAAGGGTGGATAGCTTCTCTTCAGTGATCAAAAGCAAACCAAGATAACCGGTGTTTCTAAATTCTTACAACCTCGCATCTGTCAAGAATAGACTTTCACAAGAATTGTTTCAGTTCAATGAGTTATATTATAACCATATCGGATTAATAGAAAGCATAAGAATCAACCCATCAAGCAATATTTGGTGTGTTAACTCATCAAATTCATAGTTATTAAAATAAAAAAATGGATGAAAAAAAAGAATGAATGGCAATATAAATACTGGAGAGTGTCAGCTCACCAATATTCAACAAATACTTTGAGTGGACAAGGATTCAAAGCTCTCAATCTTATTCGCGTGCTATCTAGCTACTAAAGCAATATTTCCTACTTCCATAAAATATCATAAAAGATCATCCATTAAATTAATTCTTACGAGAACTTTTTGCTACTATTATTGATTTGTAAAAAGTGAGACTAATCAAGAGCATAAATGGACATATAGTTATGTGAATCTCAAAATGTACAATTTTTTAGAAATATTTGTGCTACAACAAAAATTTTTATATTAAATTATAAATTTTAACTGCGCATTTTAGCTTCTTTTTTTACTTTGAATTTTAATCAATTATTTAAGCAAATAAGTCTTAATAGTCCTTTAACTATTCATTGTTGTCAATTTAATCCCAGAATATAGCATTCCTCTAATTTAATTTATCGACTTACAAATTTGATCACAAAGGATCTCTCAAAACAAAAAATAGATGAAAATTAGAATACTAAATTGATCCCAATTAGTCCCTCAACTATATAATATTGAACTCAATTTAATCCCAAAGTGACCAATTTGGATTAAAAATGTATAGTCAAGAGAATAAACTAGAGAAATATGATACTCTAAGACTAAATTGTCCACATTTGAATAATCGGAAGACCGTTTGGGTATTTAACCCTTGAGTTAGTTGGGGTTTATATTTGTATGCCTATGAATGAAAATTAATAACTATGTAGAACTATAATATGTTACCTCACTTGATATACTTTGACCTTTATATCATTAAGAGAAAAAAATACATTTATTATGAGAAATTTAAAGCAATTAATAAACAAAAAAAGCTAACTAAATATTTTTGTTTAGTTAAGAAGTTCTCATAATTCAGTCACTTTTATAAGGGATTGAACATAGGAGTTGGTACAATTATGATACTCATCACTAATTGTCTGGGCAAAATTAAATGAATCAAAATCAATTGATTGTGCACTTAAAACATAAAAAAAAATATGAATGCTATTGACTATAAATCAATAGATGTCTCCAAATTTTGGCAAATTATGCTGTGCGGAGACCGCACGCAAGCTTACATTCAGATTTG